GCCGCAATGCAATGAATTGAGCAAATGAAAATGAGGATGTAGAATAAGTAAGTGCAGAACCCTCTTTTGAGAAATTTGGAAGAAAGAATAGATGGTACCTGAAAAGTGATATGAAGTTAAAGATTCTGGTTTTGTCTTTTTTTTAAGATGGTGGAGAATTGGACATGGGTATAAGCTACAAAAAGATACCAGTAGAGAAGATGGATTTGAAAGTAAAGAAAAAAGAAGATGAGAGATGCAGTGAGATCCAGGAGGTGATGAGAGGAGGTGGGATCAAGGGCTCATGTAGAAGAATAATACACCTTAACTTTATAGACTGCAGGGGTAGGGGTGATGACAAGGATATATGTAGGGTAATTAATAAGATGGGAGCAGGCAAGAGGTTGAGGTATTTCATGCCTAGTGATATCAATATTTTCAAAGTCTTTAGCTGAGGAAGGGAAGGAGGGTTGGATAGAGAACAAGAAAAACTTTACAAGGTAAGTATTATCTTGTCATGAACATGTTGTTGTTACCTTTGTTGTTGTTATCTGTGCAGCATCCATTCCCCCTTTTATTGGTCACAGCACATCAGTTTTCTTTGAAGACCCATCCTCTCCCCACTCTAAGTCTGTGTGCTTCAGACGGGAATCATTCCAGCCCCACAACACACTTCAGTGTTGGGCTCCTAACCCATGATCAGGTCAATGTGATCAAGTCAAAGATGGTCACATGACTAAATCTGAGCCAGTGAAAATCAGATCCAGGAATTTTCCTGCAACTGTTGGGTAAAAGGTGCTGGTAGAATGTAAGCCTGGTGGACATCTTGCCACCAGGAAGGTTGAGCCTGCCTGAGAATGAAGCCAAGTCAAAGAAAGCAGAGCTAAGGGATGGAGAGAGAGAGATGCCTAATAACATCAATTTAACAGCTATATTAACCTCTGCCTGAAGTCACATGAGTCAATAAATTTCCCTTTTTCCTTACACCACTTTGAGTGGGTTTTATCACTTGCAACCACAAGTTATGATGAATATGTGTGGCAGATATTGCCTGTTGGTACTTATCCCCACATCCACTCTTCTATAATCTCCCCTGCACCCACAGCACTGGAAAGCTGAAAACCACATTTCTCAGGTTCCTTTGTCACTTCGCTCCAGTTAGGTTCTGCCAATGGGAACCCTTGAGTGAGGAAGATGGGAGGAAGGGAGAAGCCCTTCTGCTTTTAGCAGTGCCTCTGGCAACGTCAGCAGCAGTGGTTCCTGCCTAGCAGAAGTGGGGGCGGTTCCAGTAGCATCAGCAGTACAAACTCCAGCCGCATCAGCAAGTGAGTACAGATTTGTAGGTTCCAGCTCCTTGATCTTTGGGCAGTACTTTTTCTCCCTTTTGCTCGTCTAACCCAAGATTAGCGGTAGTTTCCTGATCTCTGGGTAACCCTGCTTTCCCTCTTATGCTTCTCCAGACCTCCCCCACAACTTTGTAACAAATTCTTTGCATTAAATCCTTCTCTGCTTATATCTAGAGTGATTTCTGTATCCTTATTGAACAGTGATTGGTACAATACACTCTCCTATTTTGCATACACAGTGCTTGTACACACACATATACCACACACAAAGCTCAGAGAGGCTGTTTCTCAAATCTGCAGACTTAGTAAGTGGCCTAGCTGGGACTGGGATTCAGACATGCCCGACTCCAATGTTCTCACTCTTTCTCTGACCTCAAGTTGGTTTTTGTTGTTCTTTTCTTTTTTATGGCTAGGTTAAATAGAAGTTAAAGAGGACAGAAAAATAAATGTAATGTTAAGAAAGCTTGTTCAGATGATCAACCTTGATGTTCAATTTGGATAGGGAAAAAAATGGCTTTTAGGGAATGGAGGACTGGGAGATAATAAAGGGACCAAATATCTCGATAAAAAAGAGCAGGAGCATGAGAATGAAGTTGTGAGGGAGGCAGAAGGATAAGGATAAGATGTTGTGGGCACAAGTGGGATGCTGGGATTTAAGGAATTTCTTCACAGGTGGAGCAATTGCGAATGATGACTAGGGTCAGAATTTGGCCATACTAATTGGGTGGCTGAAGTAGGGATTTCAGCAATTGAGAGGACATAGGTTGGTAGATGATGGCATAAGAATGGTATGGCTCACTTGCATGAGGCCAAAGGAGGAGGAATTTAACCTGCATAGAAAGAGGATGGGAAATGGTACAGACATGTATGAGAGTCATGCCAATGCTGATACTGCTGCCCATCCATTTGGACAGCTACAGGGAAAGGAAGAGGGGCCCTGGGGCAGAGCCAGTGTCAATTAAAACTGGAGGTAAAGAGATAGAAGTGTGTATTTACCATGGAGTGTGTAAAGAATATAGAGAAGCTTATTAGCCATGGAGTGTGAATTCGAGAGGGCGTCATGGAAAGTTTGGGAAGAAGAGGCACAATGACGAACAGGAAAAAGGAGCCATGGAGCAGTTTGGAGGGGAGATTCCTCGCTCTCCTTCACCCTCCTATCCAATCTATCAGCCAGTCCTATAGACTGTCTTCTAAATATTTTTTAATCTGCCTCCTTCTCTTCATCATTATTGCCAAACAGTGTCCAGCCCTCTATGATTTACCACCTGGACCACAGCACCAACCTTCTCAGTGTTCTCCTCACATCCACTGTCGTCTCCTTTCACCCAGTATCCACTCTGCAACTGTCAGAGTAATCTTTCTAAAATGTAAATCTCATCACCTCACTCTCTTGTCTAAAATCTCTCAGTAGGTCTCCATTGCTCCAAAGATAGACAAAATCCATGCTTCCTAGCCTGACATGGAAGCCCCCCATGGGCTGAGAAGCCCCTGCCTCTTTCTCCAGCCTCATCCCACCAGTCCCTCACTCATCCCCTGTACTCAGCCCTGCTGAGTAGTTGTGGTTCCCAATCCTGGCTATCTCTTCTCCCCTGGCTTTTCTTTGCTCATGTTGTCTGCTCTGCCTGTCCTGCTCCCTGGCATGGTAGTGGATAGTAGGCAGTGAATCTATATTTGCTAAAGGAATTGTATACTTTCTACTCATCTTTTAAAATTCAGCTCAAGTGTTATATCATATATAAAGCCTTTCCCTAAGCCCCTCTCCATCCCAGGTATTGCTGGTTCCGCTCTCCTTTGTAGATACAGTCTTCCATCTTAATGTCTATCTCACTTTATTGCATTTATCTGATGCCTTGTCTGTGTTCCCTTCCTGACCATGATAGAGCGGCAGATTCATGAGGGCCGGCACTGTCCGACTCATCTTGTTAGTCCGTTGCCTGACACACTGCTCTGCATATAGGAAGTGCTAAGTGAATGGATGAAAGAAGCATGAGTTGGACCTTATCTGGAAGTTTCTTGGAGACAAGCTAGAGGCTTCCCTGCAACGGAGCAGGGAAGAAGAGAAGAGAGAGGAGACTTAGTACTCCTCTTTCAATAGAGAGGAGGAAGTTAACCTTGAGTACCAAAGTTACTGGATAACTGTTTAGATACCTTCAGGCTCCCTGGTATGATGCAGTGATGCCCCAGATGTAGTACATGGACTGAATAAGGCCCAGACCTGAGACTTTGGCCTTGTCTTCACCACTCAGACTGAAGGAGCGGCTGCCAACCCCATGAGAAGAAGCATCCAGATACATCAGGGATGAAGGGGAAAGCTCAAGATACTTCTTTGGAGTGGACCCCACAGCCCAAGTGCCTGGCACCTTAACCTGTGTTCCCAGCCTGGCCAACTTCAAGTCCTGGGTGGACCCTGATCTAAGAGGCCCAGATTCATCCCCTGCCTCCCCTCCCAGCCATTGAGGCTGGTGAAGGAACCTTAGACAGTTCTCCTGAACCAGTAGGGCCTGGTGCCTCCCAGGAGCCACTCTGTGGCCTGGCCTTCCAGTGCAAAGCCCTGTGTCACAGGTGGAGCTTGTCAGTCTACTACTCTACCCACCGAAGTCCCATAAAGCAAGGAGCCACCAGGTCAGGAGGGGCTGACCCTAAACCAGATGAGGCCATGGGCTAGAGTGTGGGTCTGCTTCCAGGGCCCCTTCCTGAGAGAATCTAAGGGATGGGTTTGAGTCCATATTCATTGTCACTGGGAGGTGGGTAGTATTATACCCATTTTATGGAAGAGCTAGGATATGGAAGCTCAGAGTGAGAGCCCCTTGCTAGAGTCTGAGGCTATTTTTTGAGCCTAAAATAAACAAGCAAACAAATCTTCAACCTCAGATGGGTTGGAAAGGTAGAAAAGGTAGAAAAGGGTCTCACCCGAGATCCAGTTGTCCATAGTCCAGGCCCAATTCCCAGTCAAATGATTGTTAGCAAGTTTGGAACCTAAAGCCTTGGTCAGTTTATGATCAGAAAAGAACCAACCACTGCAACCTCCACCAAGACAACATTCACCGGGGACTGAAGGGTAACCAGCAGGACTCCCCAGGGGCTGTGTTCTGCAAATGTGTTTCATGGTGCCAGGTCCACGAATTATTCCTTCTGCCCTTTCCCCAGCTTGCCTCTGACACACAGAGGTGTCTCTGTTTCCCCACTTCAACTTCACTCCACTTGTTATGCCTAACTCATGGCGACCAAAGCCTCGTCTTCTGGTGTGGAGCTGCCTGAACCACCTGGAACCACAATTTGAGGGCCTCCATGGTCCTCCATGGCAACTCTGAGCCAATTCACTTTGCTCATGCACAGCTGCCCCAGGCCCTATTTTCCTGATGCCTTGGGGCCAAGCTGTGGTGAGTTATTAGCAGGCTGGGTCGGAGTCCCTGCTCTGCCTCTTACTTACTGGGTAAACACAGCAGTTCCTTCTCCTACCTTTGGTCCTCCATTTCCCTCTATGTGTAGATAGTCTGGAAGAAGCCAGTTTATGATCTGGATTTAGGAATCATCTGTGCAGAAATGAGGTTTGTCCCTCAGCCCTCCCCTCCTTTGCCTCCTGCAGCCTCATTTGAGCTTGAGAGCCTCAAAAAAGAGATGTTACTAGCTTCTCAGTTCAAAGAAAGAAGTGAGCTTGTTCCACAGCCAGTCCCCTTGATTCAAGAGAAGAAGCACTCTGGCTTTATTGTAAGGAAAATGGGGAGAAGGGGCTGGGCCAGACTTACGTCAGGAGGCCTCTCAATGATTGCAGCCCAGGAGGCTGTTCACTCTCTGGGGCTGGGGAAGGGTCTTGGCTGCATTCAGTTTCTCCAAGTCACTGAAGCAGTACAAATTGGAGCCTTGGATGAGGTACAAGCCGAGACCGTTGGCGGAACACGAGTGAGGGCCAAGGGACTTATCCACACACAGGGCCGCATCAACCTTCTCATGGGGCCAAGGAAGCTCCGTCCATGTTGCTGGAGCTCTTGATTGCAGGTCCAGCCACCACAGCCGCCGTCCTGGGAAGAAGGCACCAGACATAACATGGAGATCCTGACCTAGCCCTTCTCGTGCCCAGTGGGGACCTATGTCATGGAGAAGTAGCAGAACAAGCCTTTGCACCCAGACTCTCCTCACCTGCCATGACGTGGAGCCGAGAAGACCCAGGACACGTAAAGGCTGCATCCACAGCCCTAAGGCTGATGCCAGGAGGGCTCCCAAGTTCCTTCTCCAGCTGCTTTGGATAACCATCTACTAGAGTATAGCCTCCCTTTGTCAGGAAGATATACACCTGAGTGCCCTGGAGGACAAAGGACATGAATCAGCACAAGAGTTGGATATCCCCTCAGCCTCTACATCAAGCCACTCTCCCAACACACACCTGGATCAGATAGAGTTTATCCTCCCAGGAAAAAGCAGCATCCACTGTTGAAGGACCCTGGGGCCACTGATGGCCAATGGGCCACCTATGCCACCCATCTCGGCTGGTGTCCAGGCGCCAGTAGTGGGACCCTATGGAGTATCAGAAGTACCTCAAGTGCTGGTGGTAAAAGGCTGGGCAGTGAAAAGGCAAGTGACAGGTGCAGGGATGAGTCCTGAGAGGGAGGAGAGAATGCATCCAGAGGCCAAGAGGGAAGAGGCCAAGTGAGAGGGAGTAGAGCAGGCCTTGATTGGCAAAGTTGGGCATTGTGACCTGATTGGAACTGGAGTCAGCAGGAGCCTGACAGAAGGGCAAGCGTGGAGAACAGTGGCCAAGTTGCCATGTGAGGCCAACATCATGGGGTTTGGTGGGATCTCCCTACATGTCTCAGATGTCCACGTGCAGAGATGCTATAGACAATGAGATATAGTGGCCAGAAGTTCAAAGGTAAGCACCCCAGCAAGTTCCCACTGAGGTTCTCATGCTGCCTGCTCTCTAATCCCCTTGAGGTGGCAGGAGAGTATGGGGGTAGCCAGACCAGCGCCATAATTCTCTTCTCCCCTTTTCATAACATCTTATTAAAGGAATTGTCTAAGCTCCCATTTACCTTTTCTTCCTCAACCCACTTCCCTTACATTCTGTTTCCCTCCTCCATTGAAAGTGTTCCTTTCAAGGTCACCAGTATCCTCCAACTTTCCAAATCTAATGGTCAATTCTCTGTCTTCATCTTCTTCTACCACTCAGCAGTGTTTGACTCCTCATGACTCCCTTCTTTAAGTATCTTTTGGGATCTTGGCTCCCATGATACCAGACTCTTCCAGCATTCTTCTTATCTTTTTGACCACTCTTCTCTTCAGCCTGATATCTAGTACTGGAATCCCCTAGATTGGGCCTCTTCTCTATCTACACTCACTCTCTTGGTGATTTCACCTAGTCCAGGGCTTTAAATTCCATCTACATGCTGATGACTTTCAATCTTTTCTCTTCAGCTCTGATGGACCTCTTCTCTCCCCTGAGTATCAGGCTGAAACTCAACTGGCTACCTGACGTGTCCAGTTGGGGCCATTCGGCGCCAAAAACCTAACATGTCCAAACTGATTTCTGCCACCACCAAACACACACACACACACACACACACACACCCGCTCCTTCCCTAGTCTTTCCTAATTTTAGAAAAAGTAACCACCATTCACCCAGTTGCCCCATCCCCAAAAGCTAAGTCATTCTTGAAATCTTCCTTTTCCTTTCCCTACTCTGACCAATGTCCGATAAATCGGTTAATGCCATTGGTTCAACCTCCAAAATATATCATGAGGACTTCTTACCACCTCTGCTGCTGTTATCCTAGTCCAAGCTGTCACTACCTCTAATGCCGACAACTGCAAAACTACTAGCTGGATTTGTGCTTACACAGTTGTATCTGTATGACTTATATTTCACAGAAGCCAGGATGATCTTTAAAAAAATAAGTCAGAACATATCACAGCCCAGCTCAAGACCCCCACCCTAGGCTTCCTTTTACAGTTGAAAATCCACACCAAGCCTATGTAATCTGGCCCCTGCGTCTCTCTTTTCAAGCCACTCACCTTTACTATGCTCCAGCCAACTGGCTTCCTTTCCTGATTCCTCAAAGTATTTGCTGTCCACCCTCCCTAAAATGCTTTTCCTCCAGTGCTTTATGTGGCTAATTCCTTTTTATCACTGAAATCTCAGCTCAAAAATCATCTCTTCAGAGAAGGGGCCCCTCATTCTCCTCACCTCTGTCCCGTTATCTTGTCTTATTTTCTTCACAGCTTTTTTTTTTGACACTTAACATTTTTTATTTTATATTTAAAAATATCAACAACTTTTAAATCCATTTATACTAGCTCCAAGTGGTATCTCAGAATGAGAAACATTCTGATGTTCCTAGGACACTTCACAGCTATTAATACTACCTGAAAGTATTCTCTTTCCTTTTTTCTCTGTCTTATTGTCCTCTCTCCCTAGGAGGCTCTGTGAGGGAAAGTGTCTCATCTGCCATGTTGACTACTGTAATCCCATTGTCTAGAACAATGTCCAGTGTCTATCAGGTGCTCAATAAATATTTGTTGAATAAATACCTGGTGTTCTCGCTGCAGCCACAAGTTTTCTGTATAGCTGTTTACTGGGCATGTCATGGTGACTGCATATTTACCTTCCCATCCTGCTGAAACTGCCCTGCTCATGGCCCCCATTTTGAGGATCAGAGCTATGCTACTCTTTGTGCATTGGAAATAAATGATGAGTCTCCAATTCATCAACAGCCAATGCATAGGCTGACCAGCAACCACTTTAATGTGGTCTGGAATAAAAATATGGACTGGGCCAGTCAGATTCTGTCTCTGGAAATCCGACTAGGAAAAAAAGAGTAACTGAGGCTGTCATCAGTTGGATCTGAGGCTGAAAGATCATGAATAGAGAGAAGGTGGAGAGGACACATTGGTCCATGTGCAAGCCAAAGTTGTGAAAAAGCAGAAAGAATGGATAAAAAGCTATGAGGTAGAGAAAAGAGAAAAATTCATCAAAGAGAGGAGAGGATCAGCCCCGTGCTGAGTATCTGGGTCACACAGGTGTTTTCACCAAGATAGTGAGTTCTCACCTCAGCTGGATATTTTTAACATAACTGTGTTCTCTCCATGCCTGGGTCCTCTCTCAACAGCTCTGGAACATAGCTTATCCTTTGAATTTAGGAGTTCAGCTGCATTCGAGTGATGGCCATATTGCCTTGAGTTTCTATGATTTCTCTATGGCTGAGTATTCTCGTGACATCTCTGTGTGGTCCCTGTGGCCCTGTTTTCTCTATCTCTCTCTCTATCTATCATCATCTAGCTAGCTAGCTAGCTAGCTATATCTATTTATCCATCCATCTATCTCTATCTCTATCTCTATCTCTATCTCTATCTCTATCTCTATCTCTATCTCTATCTCTATCTCTATAGCACTTTGTCTGTGTGTCCTCCCAATGGTCCCACGCTCTCACCATAGCTGCATGTTCTCCTGATACTTATGCGTTCTTACCATGACATATAGTCTCTGTGTAGGTCTATATTTTCACTATAGGTGTGTTTCATCACGGGTGTATGTTCTTATTACAGCATGCATTCCTGTTGTGGGGATATGCTTTCCTTGTGACTGTGTATTTTTCTTTATAGCTTGGTAGCCATATCTGATCAGATCTGTCCAGGAGTTAAGAGCAAAAAAGAATTTTCCCTACTCTATGTTCTCACCACTATTTTACATTTATATCTGATCATACAAATATCTTAGGCTGAGTGTACTATGGTTATTCACTCCTTCTCTTGGAGCTGTTCTCAAGTGTGGATCAAGACTCATCACTACCTGCCTGACTAACCCCAGAACATCCCTAGATGTCATTAGATGACTTTACCAATTAATGCCACAGGTCTGGGGAGGGGTCTCCACTGGTCACTCAGAGGAGAAACCTCCTTGGGCTAGTGAAGCTATCTATCTCCTAAAGCTCTAAGAGACCCAACACTTCTTGGTTGGTTCTCAGTAATGGGAACATCTCATCCCCAGGTAGTGCTGTGCCCAAAGGCCTGGATATAGGAACCAGGCACCTGGAAAAAGATGGAGCTCCTCAAGATAAGCTCAGGGGGAGCCAGAGGACCTAGCAAGACATGCAAGAACAAAGGGAATATGATTCCTCAAAGAGACCCAGAGAGGTCCAGAGAGGGCACAGACCTGGGATCAGATGGTACTGGGAGGCAGGCAGGTGGATGAATTAGAGGCCTGGGCAATGGAGACAAGGTTGAACAGTATATGCATCAGAGGAGATGAGGGATGAAAAAGGATATGCAAAGGATGCTAAGGATGGTGAGACCGAGGGGATAAAATAAGGGATGCAGTGATGAAAATGGAGGAAATGTATCAGAGATGGGAGACACATGTAAAAGAGATGGGAGGTATGGAGGGCAGAGACTGGGGAGTCGGGGGGCATCTCTCACCAATGAAGGCATAGATGGCACCATGGTTGTCAGATAGCAGTGCAGACAAGGCTATATCTGTGCCACAGGGCACATCCCAATGGCCATGGTGGGTAGTATTCCAATGGCTGGTCCTATTCCTGTGTCCATGACCTGGGGGAAGATATAGGTGAGGGGGAACACAGAAGGAGGCCAGAGGTCAGAGAGGTCTGAGGTGGAAGAGACTGCTGGGTTAGTGGGGTTGTGGTCTTCTCCCATATGAAGACAGCTGGGAAAAGCCAGAATGACAATGGGGCTAGGGCAAGGGCTAAGGTGTTACAGCACACAGTGCAGATGGGAGCTGGGGCATACGGGGTCTGCAAACTCAGGGAAGGTGGGCGAATTCCACTAGGACCCAGGGGCTAGGGCTTTCTCACCTCTGCCAGGGCAGGGCATGAAGTAGTCTCGGACATCCAGAGGGTACTTGGAATTCACCTCTCCAGAAACGGGGTTGAAGTGCAGGAACTGGTTACCCCGGAAGCAGTAGTAGCGGCCGATCCATCGCATGGCAGAGGAGCAGTCCCCAACGGCCGGCCAGAAACGCTCCTTTTCAGTTCCCGTAGTAAAGTCCCAGAACCACGTGCGGTTACCTTTGTCCAATCAATCAACGAGCATTCAGTGAAGCCAGGCTATGCTCTCCCTTTTGCTTGCACTGGGCCCCAGGATGGGCCAGATAAGGTCCTGGCCACATGGAGCTCACAGTCCAGCAGGTAAACAGTTGAGGAGAGTGATCATACAGTAAAATTCAGCAGCAAATTGCAGATGATCAGCTCAGCAAGGGCAGTGGGGAGAGTCAGAGAAAATTTCCCAGAGAAGATGATACTTAAACTAAAATCTGAAGCAGGAGTTACAAGGCAAACTAGAGTGGGAGATGGAACTCCAGAGAGAGGAAAGTCTGAAGCATGAAGCAGATTGGGTGTCCAGGGAACAGCACACAATTCTGGAGCTTCATATTCAAGGTAAGGGTATAATGAGAGTCAAGGCTAGAGGGTCAATAGGGGCTTGGTCATGGAGAGCCTTATATGACAGACTAAAGAACATAGATTTGTCCTAAGGGTGATGGGGAACAATGAGGAACTTTTAGCAGAATTACACCCAGTTACCTTCCTCAGGACGACTTCCTCTCCTTCCCCTAATTGACCTCTAGAACATAACTGGATTCTCTATTTCTTCACTTCCTTGGGAAGCCATAGAGTTGCTCCACCACCACCACCATCCCTACCACTGCCTCCATCACCACCAACCCACCATTACTCCAGGCTGGACTGACCTTTGAAGAAGAGGATGCCCTCATCTTGGCATTCTCCACGGTGACATTCCACAGCTGCATCCAGTGGGAACGGGATTCCAGGAAACTCCTCTTGGAGCAACTTTGGATATCCTTTATCCTTCTTCTCAGGAGGGTACACCCAGACTTTGTCCCCCTGCATACAAAATCACTCTATTTTTAACTATGCATCCTCCCATACTGCCATTCTGCATTCACACACAACATCTCTGTTCTATTGCATTTATCTGATACTCTCCTGCAGCCCCATACACGCTCAATCAGTCTGTGGACAACAATGTACTGTCCTCTTGCACAAATACATACCCTCAGTTAGACTGTGCAAATCCCATCACTATTACTATAACACACACACATCTGGCTATGTACAACCAGACACTCCCATGGCCCACTTATCAGCAACTGTATTAGTCTTGGCAAACACATCGACAAATAGTCATCCTACAATCATCCATCCATTCATACATACATTTGTTCATTTATCTATTTATTCATTCAAGGAACAGTTCCTGAATGACTACTATATGCCAGGTATTGTGAGAGGCACTGGGGATAAAAGGATGACAAGACTGTCTCAGCCTTCAAGGAGTTCACTGTACAAAAGGAGAAATTATTCCTACAGTCCTGGCCATGCAGCCACCAAGGTGGAAACATGTGAAAGGCATTGGGGATGTAGGGAGACTGCCTAAGTCTACCTAGAGAATTCCTAGAAGGCTTCACAGAGGAGGAAGCACTTGGGCCAAGAGTTGAAAATTGAGCAGGAATTTTCTAAGTGGAAAAGTGTGGAAAGGGTGTTACCAGCAGAGGGAGCAGCATGTACAGAGTGTACTCAGAGAACTACGTGTAGTCTCCTGTGGCTGGCACACAGTGCAGGTAGTGGGGGAGGAGACAAACCTGAAAAGACAACCAAGGGCCAGATCTCGAGACCCACGTGCACCTGGCTTGCAGGAACTGGCATGTGGTGGTGCCATTTGCTGAGACAGAGAACATAGGAGGAGGGGTGGATTTGTAAGGAACATACTAAGTTCAGTTTGGGGGATGCTGAATTTGAGGTTCCTGCAGGACATCTAAGTTGGAGATGTCTACCACAAAATTGGAAAGAGATATCTGGAGCTCTGGGAGAGAGCCAGATCTGGTGCCCACCACATAGAGTCCTCAGAGCCATGGCAATGGTTGACAAGACCCAGGGAGGTAATGGAATGGCTGGGATGGATCTCCCAGGAACATTCAGGGACTGGCAGAGGAAGAGAAGCCTGAGAAGAGCAGGAAAAGAAGCAGGAGGGAAAACAAGGCTGGCAATGAGGGCCTCCCAACCACACAGCACCTATGTGCAAGTTAGGAGAAGGCGCCCCCTCCTTTGAGCAGACCAAGCCTGGGCCAGGGCAACGGGACTCAAGAAGCACAGGCTGGGTTTCATCCTCCACTCTCCTGCTTGGCCAGGTACCATTGTGTTGTGCACAACCTGGCCATCATGTGAAGAGGACCCGATGCAGGGTCATGGAAGCCAAGGGAAGAAATTGCCAGGAAGGGAAGGATGGCCAACAGTGTGAGTGAGGCATAGCAGAGAGGTCTGGACGAAGATTAGGACTGAAGAATAGCCACTGGATGCTGCGCCTGCCGGGCCCACGTGCACACACACACTCCCTTAACCTGAGTTTATTTGAGAAAGGAGGGCACAGTGGGAGGAAACCTGGAACATACTGGTAAGGGCTCCATGCCAAGGCCACATCGGGGAGGGTCGCTAGTGTGGATTCCAGCACTTTCTGGCCAGGCCCTGAACTTGGCCCAGCAGTACCTTGATCAGGAAGATGCTGTCGTGACTGTGGCGGAATGCGGCATCCACGGTGCTGTTGAAATTCTTCCACCTCTCTGAGATTAACTCGCGGGTCCAGTTGTGACTCTTCCACACGAACTCCCCTGAAAGATGCACACTCACTGAGGCACCCAGAACAACCTCTGTCCTACTGAGATAGTTACAGAGAAGTTGTGGGTGATACTCCCAGGTACTTCATAAGATCTCCCACAGATGGATACCCCTCTGTGAAGGGGACCAAGTCTGAGGTCCCAAATGCCCCAACCCAGCCCCTCCTACCTTTGAAAAACAGCATGGCCCCATGCTCATCCAGGGTGGTAGCATCGAAGCTCCAGCCATCTGAGCAGCGTTCTAGTGTGGAGGTGGGGAGATGGCAAGTAAAAGACCAGTCAGATGATACAGTGCAGAGATACAGCCAGACAGATAGACAGACTCAGGGAGTCGGGGCCTCACCGAGCACGTCTGGGTCCAGCTTGACCCCATTCCCACCTTCAGCTCCGTTCCCAGGGGCACTAGCCCTAGAGAGAAGACAGACAGATGTCTGGGTCCCCTGCGCCCAGTCCCTCTCCCTTAGCTCCTGACCCCAAACTTGCCACAGGCCTAAAATCTCGCCCTATCCCACCCTAGCCAAGACCCCAGTCCTTCCCCAGTGCCAGCTTTACTCACGGAGGAAGAGGATGGGCAATGGCCAGAGACCAGCACAGGCCCAACAACCCCAGTGCAACTGATTCTCCCAGTGCCTGAGCCATGCTGAGCCGGAGAGGCCACAGGACAGCTCTAGGCACCTGACTGAACTCTCTATATAGAGATGGCAGCAGCGCCACACCCACCTCTAAGCCTACTGGGAATGAGCTGCCTCTCAGGACTTTGCCAATATTGGCCGATTACATCAATGCAAATAGGGTCAGGGTCTGGACAGAAAGCTGAGTCCAGGACTAACTCTTCCCGGCAGGAGGCCCCATCCCCCTTCAATGACTTTCCAGCAGTGACTAGCTCAAGCCATTGATGCCCAGCTGTGACTCTCATCACCTTGGTGATGGGTCTGGGTGACCCTAGGGAAGGGGCTAGATTGATTGAGGATCATCTTTCTGTGGTTGGATTTACCTCTGCAGTGGGAGAGGAGAGATGACGACGAAACTAGCACTTTTGTGTACTAAGAGAGAAGCCCTGCTAAAACAGCTAAAGACACTGATACTTATGTATACTTAGCAACCACACACACATACAAACATACTTAGAAATACTCAGAGAACAGCTTTTTCCAAGCTCCATCAAGGGCCTTTCTGAGGCATTCCCAAGCCCCTTCAGCTTTGCCCTTGAGGGGTCAATACTATTTCACCGTGGTCAAATGTCCATGTCCCACCCTGGCCCCACCCCTACTCACAGAGAGCTTCTCGAATGTCTGGGAGGGCAAGGCTGATGGTAACCCGGCAGGAAGATGTGTCTCTCCTCCAGAGGGCACTACGAGTAATTAGTCTTTCTTTGTCATTTCCACCTTAAGGGGAAAGTGCCTTATTTACCCATCACAGAATAAATAGAACTGTAACTCGGGTTTCACAATATTTACAGCTGATTCTTGCTTAAATGTTATCCTTTCAATGAAGCCTTTCTGGACCGCCTTATCCAGCCATTTCAGATTATCCCTTGTTTCCTTTATGTCACTTATGAAAAGTTGAAATTATTTCCTCTACTTATTTGTTGCTTTTTTCTTTATTTGTTTTGTTTTGCCTGTTTTGTTTACCGTTATATTCTCTCCACCTAAAATAGTACCTGGCACATTATAGGTGTTCAACAAATATTTGTTGAATGAAAAAAAATGAATTTCAAATACTAACTAGTGTTGCTAGTGTTACAGCCAAATTTCTGGCAATTTTCCTCCTTCTGGGGTAAGGAGAGTATCAGGAATTGGGGTGTATTATGATGGAAGGCATATTGTGATCGAGGGTCACAGGTCCCCTCGTCACTGCCCTTCATCTTATGGTTGTTTCTTTCTCAGTGTCCCAGCCCCCACATCCCTTTCCTCTTCAAGCCCTGAGATGGGATCTGACCTGCATCTCTAGTGCCTGCTATCTTCAATACTCCCTGGGGCCACTCCCAAAGCCTGCCCCATTTCCACCTGAGACTCAGCTGCTGATTCTGAAGACAAATATGGGCAGAGTCAGCTATGGGCCTTGCTTCTCTTCTCCTCACTAGAGGTGGCCATTACCGCTTGTCCTGAGTCCTTCCCAGCCCTCTGGCCCGGGTTGAAGAGAAAGTGCTTGTCCATGCTTGGGCCTGAGCGCCCCCTGGAGGCGGCAGGGATCAGTGTGTTCCCACTCTCCAACCAGAGGCCAGAGTCCAGGAGTTTTCCTCCCAGAAACTGCTCTCTGCAGCCTTCCTTCCTTACTCCTCTCAGCCTGCCTGTGGGGCCTTAATGGCACATGCCCTTCCTCTGCAAACCCCTGCTGCCCAGAGCGGGTTGAGGGACCTCAGTCTCTTGCTTGATTTCCTGGAGAATTCAAGCCCAGAAAAATCTTACTCTCTCCTTTTCCATGTAGTCTTCTCAATCCTCCTAACCAGTAGCTTTCTGGCTTCCCCCAAAGGGGGTCTGAGTGTGGGCCTGCAAATGTGTTCATGGACAGGGCTCTCTCGTGCATCGCCAAGGGCCACATTTAAGCTGTATACTGACGCACTGTCCCTTGGAACGGCTATGTCCAGCCTGCCCTGCCGCTAATCTGAGTTCTTTGACCTCAGTCATTTCTCCTGGGGCCCACTGATGCCGGGTATGCTAGGCCTGCTGCCTGTGCCTGGGTACTCCAGGGAGCAGAGACTGGATTCTCCCTTTCCCCGGGCTTGGAAGGCTTGGGATAAAGCTCTAGGCACCAAAAAGAGCTCCCTGCTCCCAACTGACTCCTCCAACGTGCACTTGTTTTGTGTGAGGAAGATTAGCCCTGAGCTAACATCCATTGCCAATCCTCCTCTTTTTGCTGAGTAAGATTGGCCCTGGGCTAACATCCGTGCCCATCTTCCTCTACTTTATATGGGACGCCGCCACAGCATGGCTTGACAAGTGGTGCGTCGGTCCATGCCCGGGATAGAACCTGCGAATCCCAGGCCGCCAAAGCAGAGCACGCGAATTTACCTGCTACACCACCAGGCTGGCCCCCCAACATGCACTTTTTCTCTTGCTTTGTCTATACTGGGCCTTCCTGCATAGTCCATTCTTGCTTCTCTATGAATAAAAAATTATAATAATAATTTGCTCATATCTATTGGGTACACGTATGTCTGGCACTGTGTTAAGTACTTGATATAGATTATTTCATTAAGTCATATATAAATGGTACTATTAGTCCCATTTTACAAATAAGGAGACTGGCATTAGGTATCTTAGCCAAATCCCATTGTTAGCACGTAGTAGAACCATGATTAAACTCTGGCTGCCTGACTCCTCAGGGTGTGCTCCTTACCCTATCAAGGAGGCTACTGGTAAATGTTTAACAGCCAGCGCTCTGGAGGGGAAGAAGCCCTGATCTGTAGCATTTGTTGATTCTGTGGTGTAAATACTCCCACCATGGCCAATTTCAAGCTACCAGCAAGACCCCACCAAACGTGGAGAAATACACAGTAATGTACTACTGTATATGGTATTTCCACCAAGCAGATGTGACAGATGTAAATAACCTCGAGAGCACAGGTAGTAAAATGCAATAAAATAATTAGGAAGTGATGAGGTTTGAGTATTTATTTTCTTTGATTTTAATAAAATGTATTTAATTTTAAGTTTACATAATCTAACTTTTAATAATGGCTGGGTTTTAACAACCAGCTGTCAAACTTCCTGAATTTGACAGTGGGCTCTCGTAAGCCAGTACAAACCAGTTCCAGCAACCCCACTGTCCATCACACTGCCTTAATGAACAAGAATTGTATCTGCTTTATCCACTGTTATATCTTCAGTGCCTAGAGCGGTGTGTGAGATACTGTATGAGTTTATTAAATATTGAATTCTTTGTTCCCACTTCCTAATTAGACCTAAAATCTGTCCACTTCTCTCTGCCTCCCTAGTAATGCAAACACCGTCATTTCTCATCTGACTGCTGAAGCAGCCTCTCCCTCTGCTTCTCCTGCCCTTCTGCAATACATTCTTCGTAGCAACCACACTAATCTTCAAAAACATACCTGAGACCACCTTATGCTCCTGCTTAAAACTCTTCTTTTCTTGGAGATAAAAATTAGTTTTAATTCTACTCACCAGAGAACACCACTATTAACATTTTATCTATTCCAGCCTTTTTCTATTCTTAGAACGTCCTTTTTAAAACAAAGATATGATTTTATAAAACTTTTTTTTCTTTAACAGTATATCTCAGACATCAGCATTTTTAAAGGATGCGCATAATTGCATTATATGTTTAAGCAAAACTTTGTATAACCATTCCCTGCTGATGGACGTTTAGTTTTTTCTGGGATTTTTTTTTTTCTGTTATAAATAGAGCTGTGATAGACATTGGTGCACACACCTCTTTGTGTCTTTGCCCAATTACTTTCTTGGGAAACATTCCCAGAACTGGAAGGCTATTGATGACTTGAAGGTACACGTGGTCTTCGGAAGGAGCAGTTTAGAGATGTTGAATTTTCTTCCGTTTTTCATTCTCACTTCTCTTCCCACCCCACAGAATCACTGTCCAGCTGCCAGGTCATCTCATAAGGCATCCTTTCATCCTGTCACTGAAGCTTTTCCGTGGTTTACTGTTATACTCCAAATCAAATCCAAACTCTCTACCTGAGTTAAGTGATGTAATTCAGGCCTGACTCTCCAAACTTGCTCCTTTCCTCTCTGCCTCCACCCTCCTCCCTTCCAATCACCCTGGCCTCCTTTTGGGTCCTTCAACACACCAAGATCTTGACCCCTCAGGACCTTTGTAGCTGCTCTTACTTTGTCTAGAAATCTCTACCTCCTCGTCTTAATACAGCTGGTTCCCTACCCACCCTCACAACCTTCAGGTCACTTCTCAGAGGCCCTCCCTGCCCACCCTATTTAACACCAGAGTCACTATCTATTTTATGTTTTGCATTTTATTCATTTCCTTCACAGCTCTAACACAAACTCTCATCATGCATTTAGCTTCTTGTGTTTGCTTGTTTGCCTGCCTTCCCACTGGACTAGAAGCTCCATAAGGGCAGAGATCATCTCTGTCTGTAGTCCCAGGACCCACCACTCTGTCCAACCAATAGTAAGTGCTCAGAAGTACTTGTTGAATGAATAATGAACCTCAGGCCACATGTGGCCATAGGGTTGTTCCGATAAACAGACAGCCCTGTATAAGCAAGGTGTGAGCCCTTGCAGGACCAAAAAGTAACTTTCTGACCTGTCCCAGTGGGGGCTCTGCTGCAACCCTCAAGTCTGTAAAGATCATTTAAAACTTAGGCCAAGTCAAGGCATAGCCTCCATTGCCAGGTACCACCTCCACCTACTTCTGGGCCCAAAGCCTGAATCGGAAAGAAAATGGCCCCTGTGATTAGGTCCAGGAGGAAGCGAGTGATCCCACCTTGAGACACCTTCTGCATGGCTTAGGCAGACTACCTAATCAGGAATCTATGGAAATCAGCCCCAGCAGCCTGTTCTGGGGCTGGTAGGAGAGCCATTTGGAGCTTCCCACCCAAGGAAGCTCCCTTTTATTGCCATTTTATTCCCTTGCCACCATTAGGTCTCAGAATGTAAGCATGTGAGACGGTGAGGACTGGGGACTTTGAGCCTCCATCTTCAGTGTCACTGCTGGTGCTTGCTCAAGATGGGGGTGCAAGGAATAGACCATCAC